CAGGCTGTCGGCATCCGGGTGCTGCCAAGCAGGAGCGAGGTGAAGAGCAGGGAAGGGGGCTGGGGGGCAGAGAGGAAGAGGGCAGACCCCCCCAAAGGTACCAGACTCCCCTGTCCCCGTTGTGCCTGTACCTTTTCCACACTGATCACTTTGCCAACACGGATGTCCAGCCGGGACGGGACCACGTTCTCTGGCTCGGAGTTCTTGGTGCCCTTCTCTGCAGGCTCTACGGTGCAAAGGGAACAGCCACAGCACTTGGCATAAACCCAGGGAGCAGGCCAGGCCCCGGGGAGCACAGAGTGACCCCCAAATCACAGACCACAGCATGGTTTGGGTGGGAAGGGACATTATAGCCCACCCAGTCTTACTCCCTGCCCTGGGCAGGGACCCCAGCCCAGGTTCCTCCAAGCCTCATCCAGCCTGGCCTTGGACACTCCCAGGGATGGGGCATCCACAGCTTCTCTGGCCCTGGGGCCTGATGAGTTCCCTGTCTCTGTATGAGAGGACGCTCCCCCCTCAGCTTTGCTGGCCCCTCGAGCAGCAGAGAAGCAAACCGGCATCTGCCCTCCCCAGGCCCGGCACACACCCCGGTGCTGGCCCTTCCTCACCCTTCCCAGGGCTGATCCCAAGACTGATGCTTCAGAACTTCCGTCTAAGCTCAGCCCCAGGAGGGACTGGCTCCCACCCGGCCCTGCGTGGCCAGGGCTCCATTCCCCGAGCTCCCAGAATCTCCTTACTGGCTTTGGATGGACTGGGATACGCTGCATTGGTCAGCTTCCTCAGCTCCGGGCTGTTGAATTTCTCCCTGATGGGATCCAGCAGCTTGTTCAGGGCCACTTCCACCGAGTTCTTCAGGTCTCCAGGATGCACGACCTGCAAACAGGCAGGTCCCTGTGTGCTCCCCTCCAGGGTGCGGGGGGAATTCGAGTCCCTGATCCGAGCCGAGAGGACTGGAGACCACGCAGGGCGGGAGGGGAACCCCAGCACTTGGGCTGGTCTCCCCTCAGACGCTATTCCCCTGGGAACAGCCGAAACCAAACTGGTCTGGCTCCAGGACGTGGCCGCCGTGGTCCTGCCCCACACCAGGACAGCCGGTGCCCCCACATCCTTCGTCCTCTCCAGGCTGGGAGCACCCTGCCACCCTACAGCCTCCGGGCCAGGCTCTGCTCCACGCTTTCCCCCGGAGCACACTTCCACCTCCCACGGCTGCTCAGAGCCCCCCAGCTGCTCTTGGGAGCCGCAGGGAGAGGGTCCAGTCGCCCCCTGCCCTCACCTGCTCAGCGAAGTCCTTCTCCAGGGCCTCGTAGGCTGTGTAGGTTTTGTTTCCTCCCCATTTTTCTTCCCGCAGCACCACAAACTCTGCAGCACAGAGATTTAAGGCTCAGATTAACCCCAGCGGGGACTCACCCCCTGCTCACCCAAACTGCTCCCCCACTTTGCCCCAGAGCTGAGGGGGACAGCAGCAGGGGCTGGGGAGGGGGCACGCTCCCGCCCCCTCCTCTTACCCACAGGAAAGCTCCCCCGGGCCCGGGCAGCCCCTCACCTGACTTGAGGGGAAAGAGGACGTGCTTGATGAAGGAGAGGACCCCGTTGTTCTCCACGTTCCCCGGCTCGCAGAAAGCCTTCTTCAGCTTCTTCTTCACGTCCTCCTTCCGGTCCAGAAGGTCAATCTTTGAGTCCTGCCGGAAGAGATTTCCACAGCCCTTTTCCCAATCCCTTGCCCAAAAGCGACAACTCCTGCCGGAGCTGCTGCAACTTCTCAGACCCCAGTGGAGCGA